TGACATAAGTTCATATGGTGCTGTCATGATTTACAGTGTTGTGTGGGCCCCCTGCTGTGCTGCTCTGTTGACATATTACACAAAGTTTCGCTCAAAACACAACTTCTCACTGATTTTTCTGCTAATGAGACATTTTTCCTCTAGTTCAGCGGTCCCCAACGTTTTTTGCGCCATGGCCATGGTTTATGCCCGACAATATTTTCACGGACCGGCCTTTAAGGTGTCGCGGATAAATACAACAAAATAAGTACCGTACCAGTACCGAAAAAAAGATTTATTCATAACACACGTGAAAAGACCCAGGAAAACCGAGTTAACGATAAAAACGATAACAAAATAACGCTGAAAACCGATAAAAACCCTGAAACCCATACATTTCACACCTGAGCCTCAACCCTCAACTCCCGGGGGTTGGGGACCGCTGCTCTAGTTCACTCAAATACAATGAAATATTGATGATTTATGTCAATTTTTTAATAATAATTTTTACTTGGCCACTGATGTCTCAAAGGATTTTAACTCTTGGTTCAGACCATAAAATCCATAAAATCCATAAAATCCACGTGCACAGGTCACCTGATACGCACAGATCACATCACCTGTGTTCAGACACTGAATGGTTTTAGCTTCTATGGTGTATTCAAGTGCATCACATCAGCTCATCAGATCATATAGGTTTCTCACCTAATGCACTACTTTAGTTCTGTTCTTTATATCCTGGTCTCAGCAACAAAAGAAAAAAGTCTTTGATCATGTACTGTGCTGTACACAGTCTACTGTTGCATAAAATTAACTACAAGTAACAAATAATGATGAAAATTTGCAAATAAACTTCACAGTTTCCCTGAAAATCTCTCGCTCAGCTCTCCCCTCTGCAGTGAAGAAATCTCACTTTGAGAAAAAAAACATGTTTTGCTTTAGTTGCCTCTTCAGCTCAGCAGCTTTCTGCCTCGCGTCTCCTCCTCCGTGGCTCTGCATCTCTGCTGGTGCGTGGAGTTGAAATGTTGTTTGAATACAGAGCCTGTGTCGTGGTGGAAACGCAGGCCTCCCTTCACACACGCTTCTCAGTCTCCCATCTTTCTTTAAACCGCCTGCCCTCTGCACCAGTCTTTTTTCTTTTTTGCCAGTTTGTGTTTGTAAGCTCGGGTGCTGGGAAGCTGAATCCCTTTGTTTGGTTTGTTGTGTTCCTGTGCAGACCACAGCTGAGCTTAGGTGGACCAAAATGTGTTAGCCAAAAAGGGATGTTCAAACTGGATTAAAGCATACAGAGGGCTGTGTTTGGCCATGAGTTTGACACTTGTTTTGTACAGATATTCAAATGGATATTTTTAGCCATGGACTGCTCGTTAAACAAGACATTTAAAGATGTCT